ATTGCTCTCCACCAGGTGCTGGGGGTAACAAATGACAGCCACAGTCCTAGCGCCCAAGTACAGAACCTCTGCCACCATTTCCTGTCACCACGTTCCCATCACCTCTGTGGAGACAACTGCTCTGTCCTATCCCTCCTGTCCTTTGTCTCCTCCTTGACCTCCTCACTCACATGCGAAGCAGGGTGCCCTGTGGGCTGGCTTTGGGGCTGTGGGAGTCTTCATCCACTGGTGCTCAGAATTCCCATCTGCACTGGGACAGAGCAGTAGCCATTTTTCTGCAGGGTCCCACATGTCACAACTGGGGATGGATCACAGTGCCTCTGTGATATGCTCAGACTCCCATTTGTCCTACATCTCAGTCATCAGCCTGTGCCAGTGACTCTCTGTTCTGGAGCTTGGACCTTCCTGTCCTGCCCCAGCAACTGCCACTGGCAACTCCCACAAGTCCTAACCATGACAAGGACCCCATGCTCCCATCTTGCTCTTAAGGCCAAATTCCAAAAATCAGGAGAGCCCTTCATCCTGCCCAGCTTGGAACTAGCCCCTGACTCAGAGGTCCATGTGGCCCTGGGACACGCTCCCTAGGACCCTCAACCTCCTGCCCCCAGCTGGTCATCCAAAGTCAGATCCTCTCTCGCTCTAGCCACCCCACCTCCCACCCTGTGTCTCCACTCCCCGTCTGTGCACCAGCTCAACTCTGTTCTGAGCCCTCTCACCGTGACGTGCCAGCTCCCAGCAGAAAGGCCTCCCCAGAGCTGCCCTGCAGACTCTGCCTGAAGCGTCTCCCTCCTGAGATGCTGTCACCCATGCTGTTTGCTCTCTGCTGAATCTCTCGCAGTCTCCTGGGATTTACATACAATGCTTAAGATCTTCATATTATTTTGACATTATTCTAATGTCATTTTCCTTTTCAAATGCCGTCGTTGGCATTATTTCTTTGTATGTGGCTCGTCTGCCTTGCATGCTAAGTGGCAGGCTTGAGTGAACGTCGACCTCTGCTGCAGTCATGTACCCACCCCTCCACCTCCTCACCCCCAGGTCCCATTGCCCCCATCCCCACCCCCTGTGCGTTGAGGGCTGCTGACCCAGTATAGCCTGTGGGACAGTGCCAGTCTTCCTAGGTGCATAGAAAGCCCCACCTCCTAACACCCCCCCACCCAATCCCCCACCCCATCCCCCGCCACCCCACTCACACACACTCACTGGTGGAAAGCAGAGCAATGGGACACTTCCTTCAACCTAAGATGCTGGCCTGGGCTATTTTGCTTGGATGGCCCATCCCTCACCCTCACTCAGCGCCTGACTCGGGACAACACTCAGGAAGCCTGGGCATCCTATGGTTCCTTCAGGGTGTGGCACTTTCTGTGGCTCCTCAGGCCCTTGGGAACAGTAGGGTCTTCTGAGTGTATGAGGGCCAGTGTAGTATTGGCTGATGTCAACACTGAATTCCCTACCAGGCCAGCTTCAAGCTGTCAGCCATGACCCTGGGTGCAGAGTGCGTTAGAGGTGTCACCGTCATTCTCTCTCCACTGCCGTGTGACCACGGTGGCCCTCTGCTGTTTAGGGCTCTGGAGTCCTGAAATTTCACAGGAGCTTCTAGACCTCTGGATAGTGGCCTGAGAGGGCATGGTGGGCCCCACAGAGCAAATGGAACATTTCCAGCTCTCCCCAAGAGCACTGGCCTCCTGATGTCACCCTCCCCAGCCCTCATGTGTTCCTTGGCCATGCATAAGTGGGTGGTGCTGGACACTGAGGTCCTGGGCTGGGAAGCAGCAACTCTGCTGTTTCTGGGTGCCTGGTTTTAGAATATTCTGTTAGTTCTGAGTCTCCGGTTCCCCACCCTCTGAAGAAAGCCCCAAGAAGTAGGGTGTCTCCAGACAGGAAGGCTTACAGGGCTCTACCTCTGACTCACTCACCTGACCCTGGGAGTCCATTGACCCCAGACATGTCCTCTGACCTCTGTTGACTTCATGCCTCTGTCAGCCCTTCCTGGATGCTAATCCTGATCTCAGAGCTATGGAACCTGGATGTACACAGTCCTCCGTGCTGAGGGAGGAAGGGGCCATGAGGAAAGGTCTAGTGGCTTCCTTTACATCTCCCGCTGTGTTGATTTCATCACTCCTGGTGGCAGGACGGGCGGTCTCTGTCAGCACTCACCCCCCCAGCATGGGTGCCTGCAGCAGCTCACACAGAACCCCTGGACTGGCATGGCTTTCTCTAGGAGAGTCCCAACAGAAGTCAGCAGAGCAAGGGACATAGCTGTGTCATGCACAGACACCAGGAGAGGCAGTCTGCAGTAAAGATCCTGTAAGTTCTCCTGCCATACTGTCCCTGTAATGGGCTCCCATTTACCTGTGGAGGGTCACCCAGCTGGTATGTATAGACCAATCCTGTAATCTGGCTTTGAAGGAATCAAGGCCATGAGATCTCTGGACACTTCAGGGAATCTGGCATGGGTGCAGTCCTGTGTGGAGGCAGAATAGATCTCTGATCTTCAAGAACCTTCTGCTACCCTTGGGCCCAACTCAGGCAACCAGGGAACCCAGATGTACTGGTTCAGGTGTGGCTTCTGGATTCCAGGGTTGCGTGGGCCCCTCCCTGGGCTTGCTTCATTCCTGCAGATGCCAGCACTACATTCAGCCAGCTTGGCAGTCAGCAGGTTTTCAGGCTTGCTATGTTCCCCAAATCACTGTGAAATGACCACAGTCTCCAGAGTCCCACAGGGCTGGCCTGGGTGGTCTTGGGCAATGTCCTAAGTGACTTCGCTCCTGGGATGCGATCACTGGATCCAGGTCCCAAAGAATCCTGCCTACAAAAAACTGTTACTCTCTCTTCCTGCCCTTCTTGGGGCTTTCTTCCCTTGTGGCCTAGGGATTGCCAGCCTGAGAAACTGGTTTAGAAGCGCTGTGACTTTCCCTTGTCTTCCGAAACTATTCCTGCTGTCCTAAATAAATGGCTGAAGTTGTGTGTCACCCTCCCAGGTCAGAAGCCCAAGGGTGTCTAGTCCCTCCCAGTTTGGTGGAGGCCTCATAGGCAGCAGCGAGACTTCCTAGCTGCATGTAGGTGATGAGATGCCTAGGCCTTGCCCCTTCCTTCACAGCTGGTGGAGGGGCCCAGCCTAACCTATAGACATGTTTGCTCTGGCCAGCAGAGGACTTCAGACTTGCTTTATGGAGCCTTCAGCATAGATGCATGTGAAGCCTCACAGGTGCAGCCCTGAGATCCCAGCTCCACTGGAGGGCACTGGAGGGGTCAGCAGCGGTTCAGCGTTCTCACAAGGACATCCTTCTTGGGCTGGGTTGTGACATGGGACACCCATCTCCATCAGGCCCACATTTGCTACTGACCTACTATTTTGAAGAATGTTTTTAGTGAATGAGCCAGTTGCCAAACCCTGATCCTACAAGGAATTTGGAGGCCATGGACTCTGACAGAGATCCTACCTGTCTAGATCTATGCTTGATGGTGACACCTGATTGATTCCCATGGCCTGTGTGGTAGAAGTTTCTGACATCTGTCCACCTGGGCAGCCTGCCAGAGCCCCTGATCCCATCTTAATCAGGGCACCGTGGTCCCCACCTCCAGTCACTGCATGCTTAATGTCCCGCTTCCCACCCTCGCTGGAAGGATCTGTACCACTTTCAGCTGTGGTGAGGACAGCTGCTCTTTTCGAGGTCCCTTCTGAAGCGAGCAGCATGCAAGGCTGTCCTGTTGGTCCTTGTCCCTCTGCTGAGCCGCCATTCCTGGCCACTAGGTGAATTTGTGCGTCTGATGGAAGCTGTTTCTGTCACCCCCAGTGTGGGCTCCCCTCTCTCTCCTCTTGTCCCTCTGCCGTCAACCATGAAGTGCAGGAAGAGTAAAGATTCAAGACTGTGGGTCAGGTGGAGTCCCCACAACCAGGCACAGGAAACCTGTGCCCTGCCGGCCACAGTTGGCAGTGGGCCTGTGGGGTTCCTGCCAGTTGTGTTCCATGACAGGCTCCTGTGGACCGCGGGTGTGTGGGGACATATTTGACCAGTGATCTGAGGAAGCAGCTGGCTCCAGGCCTGGGGTTTGTGTGAGAGTCAAAGGGAGGGATAAGGGGAGACACCACCCTGCCTGTCCCCAACTCTCGCTCTAGATTGAAGGCGGTGGAATGGGCTGAGAGACCAAGAGAGGACGTGGCACTTCCCACCTCCTGGCCTCTGGCAGGCCAGGCCTATGTGACTGGTGACATCTCTACAGACATGTCAGGTCAAGAAAGCCATGAGATGTCACATACAACTGTTAGCAAGTGTCCTTCAGGATCACCGCCAGGACAGAGGAGGGGCCTCCACTCTGCTCTGGCCCAGGGCTCCTGGGGAGATGAATGAGCTTTGAGTGGTGACTACGATGACCTCAGGCTCTGCTTTGGGATCTGACTTTTAGCTTCATCCACAAGGCTACATCTGTGCACGGGCCACCCAGTAGATAGTTTGTTCAATGCCTCCCACTCCCTTATCTTGCTAAGGGCTGATCATTGGGGCCCAGGCAAATCCAGCCAATAATTCTGACTAGGAATGCCCATGTTCCAGGATGATGGCCCAGCTCAGAACAGTTGCCTAAGAACCCAGGTGTGGCCCTCAGGAGAGAGAACCTACTCACAGGACTGGGCAGCCAGGCCAAGCTAGTCCCATGCCCACCCGGGCAATGGTGACCTCTGCACAGGAACTCATGTGTCCATCACAGATGTTCGGGCATCAGCTACACGCAGATCTGGTGCTGGGCTTGGGGCCTTGGTGATGTCACACCCATGGGCTGTCAATGAGGGACTCAGGAGCTACTGCAGACTACACACATGAGAGGCAGGCAGTGGGTACCTGAGACAGACTGGTGCCCCCAAGGGAAGCTTCCCACTGGAGGAACACCCATGGGAGGCTGTGAGGAAGGGATTTTGCAGCCCTGGGGACCACATTCTTCCATTAGAATAAGAACAGCAAACATCATTTGGAGAAAGCTAGTTTATATAACACTTGCTTGGTCAGATTCCCCAGAGACCCTATCGATTCCCAAGATAGGTTTTTGCTGGTCCGGGTAGGTCAATGGGTGCTGGTCTCTAAGGGAAGGAACTTGAGGACATCTAGAATTGTCTCAACATCCCTATGAGGCAGGCATGATCCTCCCAGTCTACAGATTGAAAAACTGAGGCTTAGCAGAGAAAGGGCCTGCTCACTAGGGTGGAGCTCTTGCTGTGGCCCATGCCACAGCCATTCCATACCCCTCAGGCCTTCCCCAGAGCTCACCCAGTGGGGTTTGTTCTCCTAATTTTAAGCACACCCGGGACTACTTAGTACCAGGGTGGCTGGAGTCCGGGTGAGAGAACAGAGTCATGGACAGGAGTTCTATGAAATCCAAATACCCCTCGTAGGTGGTGGACAATAACCCAGGCCCCTCCCCCCGAGAAGTCCAGAACCACTCATGTCCCAACTGCACCATTGGGAACCAGTCACAGAGATCCCAGACTGAGAATACCCCACCCCCCACCCCAAGCTATTGATAAGTCATTGGCCTGACTAGTGGCAATCCCCTCTACCCTTCCCTCTGCAACTGCTTTGGCTCACAGCTGGGTGTTCACCCTGCACAGGAGGCCTCTGAGAGGTTCCTCCAGGCCATCAGCATCACAGAAGGGGTAGGAGAGGGTGGCTTCCTGGGGCAGGGGTGAGGACTTCCTGTTTATAGCAGGGGTGACAGTGATGAGGGTAGAGATAGAAAGGCGAAGCTGTCCAGCATCCGGAGAGCATGGCTTTGAATGTCAGCTCTGCTCAGCCCCAACTCCCTCCCCAGAGCCTCAGTTTTTCATCTAGGACATGGGGGTAGGATAGCACCCACCTCATAGGGTCCCCTTGGGAGGCAGAAGCCTGCAGGTGGGATCAGCCCTGGCAGGCTTTGGGTTTTGGTGGCCGCAGTCATGGCTGCTCTTTGACTTTGGAGTCCGGCTTCTTCCACACAAGGCGCTGGCAGTGCTCCAGGGCATCACACATCTCAGCGGCCTCTGGGCTCTTGCACCAAAAGCTGGGGCCTAAGACACACTGATCCGTGCCTAGAAGTGGAACCTTGGGGCTGTGGCAGGCCCCCATCTTCCTGCACAGGTCCGTGGGGTCCATCATGAGCCTGAGGCTCTCTATGAGTACGGGTTCATACTCCGCTACGAAACGGTTGCACTGCAGTACGTAAGGCAGTGGCAGGATTCGGCAGCCACCTTTGAAGGCGTTCAGGATGTCCCGCTTGGTGCTCTTGCGGTCCAGATTCTGGGAAGATACGCCCAGTATCCTTTTGCACCCATGGCAGAAGCTGCCCTGGTTTTCTTCATCCACCAGCAGGGACGGTGTGGTTGCCTCAGCCCTGGAGATGGACCTGGCCTGCCTTCTGTTGTTACACAGCCTGATGGTCTCACACACTTTCTCTGGGGTGACTCTGGTCACAAGCTGAACCAGGTTGGGGCTGTAGGCCTCCACCAGGGTGATGCACTGCTGGACTAGACTTTCGGGCATTATGGAACACACTCGCTCCAGGGTGTGGGTGATGAGGGCTTCTGTGCTGTTGGTCATGAGCCATTTGTCCATCTCCTGGATCACATTCAAGCACACATCACAGGTCAGGCCCAGCTGCATCTGCATCTCATTCTTCTTGGGCAGCTCCAGTTCCAGAGAAGGGATTCCATCCACAGCGGCCACTTGAGCCAGCCGGTGGGCAGGCTCTCTCTGCTCCTCACAGAAGCCCCCCTTCCTGCAGACCTCCTGTGAGGGGAGAATCTGCAGCGCTTGCTGGGCGGGGACGAATTGCTGTTGGATGTAGTTCTTGCAGAGGGCAGCCAGGCCAGGCCCCAGGGATGCACACTGACCCTGGAAAGTTACCTCTGCCAAGGTCAAGTTAGACTCTAGAGCACCCTGGAGTGTGGAGATCAGCTGGATGCAATCTTGGCATACAGCATCCCCAGGCATCTGTGATGGGTGGAAGCTGAGGGCCCCGTTGGACAAGAATGGAGCCATCACTTCAGTTATATCCTCCTGTGTCAGCAGTCTCTCTGAGGTGGCAATGGCTAGGTGCCTCTGTAGTGGCTCACAAAGGGTGAGCGCCGTGCATACCGGAGCCACGGCAGTGCCTGGGGTTCCACTGAGCATGCCCAGGACAGCTGGGCTGTGGTTGTCCACCATCTGCTTGCACTTAGCTGATGATTCCAGGCTGGGAAGCCACTCACAGGTCTTCGTTATGGATCCCAAAATGTCAGACTCTGTAGCATCCGGGTTCATCCCGTTACCAGCAGCGGCTGCCACATCCTGGCACACACTGCAGGGCAGGGACTTGACTATGGGCTTGCTCCAGACAGCACTCTGGCAGTACTTCACGGCCTGACACTTCGCAGCTGCCTGCAGGTCTTGACACCACACCTCAGAGCCCTTGGCACACTCCCGGGGGCCCGTGATGGGGCTGGCCTTGGCGGCCCCCAGGAGACCAGACAAGAGAATCAGAGCACACAGCATACTGCCCATGGTTCTACTGGCTGCTACCTCTGCGTGGCTGTCGCTATAAAACTAGCTCTACTGCCTGGCCTGCTCAGCGAGGGGCCCGCCTCCTGCTCCTCCCCAGCCTGAGTCAGAGCCCCACCTGCCTGGGTGCTGGCACTGTCCTCTCTGGCTTCTGTCTTTTGGTCTTTCCACCTTCAGGGAACATCTCCCTCTCTTCCCCTGAATAATCAGTATTTTCAGAGTCTATCTTCTTTGGGAATGAAGTTTCTGTTCTGTGTTACACCAGGGCTAGAATTCTAGAGTGAATTCCTAGAGTGACTTATTTCTAACTGGACCTCATGGCCATGGGCCTGCCACAGGCCCTTTTCCCAGCCCACTGTTCAGGGGCTGAGTGGACTGTTGACCCCACAATGCCTGTGTGAAGGCTGCTGGCATGCAGAGCCTTTCATTCTGGAGACTTCTATGGGAGGCTGGGTGTGGGCTGGTCCCTAGCAGATGCACATGATGTTTGCTGAGGCTCACACATACAAAAGAGTTTTGTCTCACTGTTAGGTCATTTGTTATCTTCTGTAATTTTAGAAATAGGCATTAGGCAAGAGCATTGGCTCCAGGCAGCACACAGGTGGCCAGAGTCTCATCCTGTTGATTCTGTGGAGGATTCTGGAGCCAGACTCACCTGTTATGATTGACATGCAGCTCATTACTCCCACAGGAGTGGGCAGATCAGGGACCCCGAGGGCTCTGTGGAAGCCCCACATGCCTTAGTAGTGTGAGTCCCACACATGGCTATCTGTGGCTCAGACCCTGGGGCTCTGGAGGAATTCACTTCCCAGTTATGTGGGGCGGGTATCCCAGCCGCCTTTGCAACAGCTTTGTGAAGAACGCAGATGGGGCCTCCTCTTGCCCTCCTTCTAGGGGGCTGAGCTGCAGAGAGAACATGGAATGAGGTTTACTGAGCCCTTTAAATGACTGCCAAAGACTCTGCTTCCTTTGGGCCAGGGGAGGGAACAGGCTTGGTGAAGTGGTGAGGCTGGGTTCTCCTAGCTGCAGGGCCACCAGGGCCAGCTGGGTGAGCTATACACAGAGGTGGGGCTGCAGACAAGGCAGTCTTATCTAGATCTGACTGGGTTGGCCCAGCTGACTCACTCTCCAGCACCTTACCAGGTTACTGTTTTTGGAACACCCACTCACTTTGTTTTTGGGGCTCAGGCATTTTCTCAACCCTACAATCAACTCTGTTTGCCAAGTGAGTGACCTGCCATTTGACTCAGTTTTGATGTCACCTCCCCAGGGTCCATCCAGACCCTGCAGTCAGGGGTTCAGACCGGACACTGGCTCAGCCCTCTCCACCTGCATCTGTGTATCACGGTTCCTATGGCCCTCTTCAAGCTCAGAGACTACTAGGAAGGTTCACAGAATGCAGGCAAGTTCTATGCTGGTGTTGAGCAGTTTACCTCAGCAACCAACGTAGGAATCACCAGAGGAAGGTGCCAACAGCAAGAGATGGGTAGGACATGGAACCTCCAGGCCGTATCAGGGAGTGTCAGCCTCCAGCCCATCTGTGGGTTCTCCCCAGAGCACTGCCCCTTCCCAGAGTCATGGGCGAGGGGTAGCTGAAAGCCCCGGTACTACAAGCTCTCTGGTGGGCAATGCTGTCTAGAAGCTGCCAAGGTCATCAGCCCAAATCACCTCACCGGTGTAAATACAAGTGTGGACCAAGGAGCCACTCAGGAAATACTCCAGGCTTAGGGCCTCTGTTATATTTCATTTTGATACCATTTCTAACTTAGAAGGCAGTTGCAGAAACAATTTAGAGAGTGCCTATACCTTTCCAGGTATACTGATAACATTTATTCCCTCTACATCATTCTATTTTCTTCTTATCCATCCAACCATCATCTACCAACCCACCCATCTATCTATCCACCTGTCCATCCATTTATCCATCTGTTCATCCATCTGTCCATCTATCCATTTGTCTACCCAGTTATCTGTCTATTCATCTGTTTTCAACCCACACACCCATTTTCCATCCATTCACCTACACGTCCATCCATCCATCCATCCATCCATCCATCCATACATACATACATACATCTGTTCTTCATCCATTCATTCATCCATCCAATTATCTGTCTATTCATCTGTTTTCAACCCACACACCCATTTTCCATCCATTCACCTACACGTACATACATACATACATACATACATACATACATACATACACACACACATCTGTTCTTCATCCATTCATTCATCCATCCAATTATCTGTCTGCCCACTCATTTGTCCATCCATTTATCTGTCTACCTGTCCATACGTCCATCTATCCAAATTTCTATCTGCCTGTCCATCTACTTGTCCATTCATATATTCATCCAGCTATCTACTCACTTTCCATCCATCCATCCATCCATCCATCCATCCATCCATCCATCCATCGAACTATGTATCAGTCTGTCCATCCAGTTATCCATTCACCATCTGTCCATTTGTCTATCCATCTGCTCATCCAATTTTCTGTATGTCTTTCTATCTGTCTGTCCATTTTCCTCCATCCATCCATTAATTCATCCATCCCATCTATCATTTGTCTACCATCCCTATATCTGTCTGTCCATATGCATAAATATTTACAGGCAGTGTGTCACAACTGCTGTGGGCGGCTGTGGGTGAAGGCATTGTGTCCCTTTGCCCATTTCTTCCGTGTGCCATTCCTAAGAATGAGGGCATTCTCTCCTATAACCACAATGCATTTATCGAAACCGAGAGCTGCCGTGTTGACCCAGCGTTATCTGCCCTACACCCAAGTCCAGGCTTTCCAGGTGCCAGCGGTGCCCTGTTCTGAGAGCTTATCTCCCAGGCCTAGCTCTACCCCAGTCACCTGATACACTCACTGCACACGTTGCTTTGCTCACGTCTGCCTGGAGCCCTGGTAGCCTGGCCTTGTCTTCTGTCACAGTGGAGCATAGGCTGGTTATATTGCCCAGGCCCCTCATTGGTGATGCTTCATGACCGGTCCAGCTGGGTCCTATAGTGGCATCCTTCTGCACTGCCCTGGGCCCTCTTGGGACATTGGATCCAGAGATGCTTGAAATGTGTGTTTCTCTGCACAAGAAAAGCTTTCTCCTCTCTCCTCATCTCTTTCTGCTTTCTCCATCTTTTTTTTCTTTAAAAGAAAGACCCATCACTTTTGATTTTACTTTTACTATTCTCAAATCTGATTTATGACTTTGGGACTTTGAACTATTGTTTGTGAGTCTTAATCCAGTGCCAATGCTGGTTGCTCTTGATGCCCAAATGGCTCCAGTTTTGACCTGTGGAGCATTTGGAGCTGTCTTTTGTCTCTTCCAGTTGTCCTTATCATTCTTTGAGCCCCTCATATCCAGCCACGGCACCACCCCAGGCTCGATTTGTTCTTTGCCCAGACAACCCTGAATTCAGCTTTCTCTCTAAGGAAAGTGTTTAGAAACCGTGCCTGGAAGCCAGTTGAGCGGGCTGTGCTACAGTCATTTCCAGACCCTCGTTGACATAAAATGATACTTCACTTACTGGTGAGGAAAAAGGATGAAGCTGGAGGGAAGGATGGGTGCTTGTGGAATCACAGACACATGTTCATAAAGTACTGTTAACCTGTGTGCACATAAATGCATGTGACATATTTATCCATCTGTCTACCCATCCATCCATCCATCCATCCATCCATCCATCCATCCATCATCCATCCATCCATCCATCCATCCATTCACCTATTTACCCACCCATCTATCCATGTATCAATCCATCCACCTATTCAACCGCTCAAGTGTCTACCCACCTACATATCTACCTTCTTTCCCATCCATCCATCGGTCCATCTATCCATCCATCCATCCATCCATCCATCCATCCACCCACGTGCACCCATTTTTGTGAGCCCATTTGCTCATATGCACACTTCTGTGCAGCAGTGCGCAACCCAGCTGCCCTCTTTTCAATGTTTGAACCTCCCTTGCCTAACAGTGAGAAGCTTAGCTCTTATTATCCTTAATGTATCTATTCACTCTCATTTCTGAATCCAAAATGCCCTTTAAAAATTAGTTTCAGAAGCACTAACCCATTCCATTGTGAAAAGCAAACTCTACTAACTAGAATTCTGTAACTATTGACAGTGGACTTTATTCTGCTGAAGAGGAATTTATACACAGCAAAGTGCACACATCTTAAGTGGGCAGGCCAGTGAGTATCGGCCAACACGTTTCTTTCGATCTCTCCCCAACCAGGATGCACAGCCCTTGCTTATGGCCCTGTCCAGTTGCTCAGCTTTCCTCCTTGTTTCCTACCATGGACTCATTTCCATGGCTATGATCACGCATCCAGACTTACCACTGTGTTCTTCCCGCCACATTGTAAGGTCTGCCTGTGCCGTCTTCACAGCTGTCTGTACTTAGTTCCCTTGCAAGGTCATGCCAACAACGTGTCCCTACAGTAGCCTGTGTATCCACCATGGGCTGACATTTCTGACTTCTGGTGTGGGGTTTCTGGTCCCCTGGCTCTCTGAGCATGTTTTGTGGCATGATGAGGGCCATGCAAGTTTCTATAGGGTGTGCGCCAAGGCTTCTCTCTGGTGAGTGCCAATGCTCCTGAGCTGTTCTGAAGTGGCTGCACCTGCTGCCACCACCCAGCACCACCGGTGTCTGTCACTCTTTGTGGCTCTGATTTCAGTCCTTCAGAGATGATGAACAAATGCTCACTTACCACCCCCACCCCCTGAAGTTTGACAGCCCATTGCTGTTGTTGAGGTTTTTAGAAATACTATTTGCTGCCCAAACTATTAGAACAGCATTTGTTTTGTATTCCCAAGTAAAGACTGGTCTGCTCTGGTCACAGTGGCATGTAGGCAGGTGGCTGGGAGCCATATTGTGATGAACCCCTGACCTGGAAGCTGGGCCTGGGGAAGCAGAAGGGGGCTCGGCTGCCTCACCCCCGTGGAAGGAGTGCTGTGGAGTGGTTGGAATGTTCTTGTCATTTGATGAGTAAAGAGCATCCTAGGAGAGGCTAAGCCAGTGTGACCGCATATGTGGCAAGACACTCCAACTCTCACACTTGCTCCCTGTGCCCTGCCCAGCCCCTCACCTGCATGGTGTCGTCACCATCGGCTCCATGAGGGGAGCAAGAAGGGAAAGGAGCTGGGCAGCTTGCTCACTTGTTCCCTCTCTGCTCTGGGGGTAGATGATGACCCCACAGCCCATCTCCTGGGCTCATTGTTCTCCACGCCTCTACCTCAGTCACCCACCACGATACTATGCTCCCTCTCTCCTCACTTCTGTCCTTCCTGGGTCTTTCTGGGTGACACTGCTCTCCCCTTCCCAGGACTCACCTTCACTGTCTAGCCCAGGGATTCACCAATCACTCATTTCACACGCATTCCCCAGGCGGCCGTGAGCTGGAGCTGGAGTAGGAGGAGGATGGAGGAAGCGTGACCCACACCCTCCGACACAGAGCATTGATGAGCAAGCACAAACGGACCTCCCCCACCAAGCAGGGTGAAAGTGCGGACATGGCAGGAAGCCATGTGGGGTCAACAGTAGAAAGGGGTTCCCTAGAGAAAGCCTTCAAGAGGGCCCCATCATCGGCATAGTAAGGGCATAGGCCATTTGGCTTGGGATGGGGTGTGCTGTTCACATGAAGCAGCCAGGAGGGGACGGGTGGGCTGGCTGACCATTAGACTGTTGATCTGACTCAGAGGAGTCAAGGGCAGAGGTGAGGTTCTTTTAGCATGTCTCTGGTGGAGGGGGTGTCTAGAGAAGAGCACCAGGCGGGAATCGGGAGGCTGAGACCATGGTCTGATTCCTCTGGGAGTGCCCATCCATGAACAAGCCTGTGGGGTGGGGTGAGGTGAGGTGGGGGAGGACAAGGAACTTGGGGTGAGTAAAAGGCAGGCTAGAGCAGAGGGATTCTGGCCTGGGAGGGTCTCTGGTGAGCAAGTCAGTTGAGGTCTCTTCACCACCCAACCCAGGCAGAGCTGGACCTGTGTATCCACAGAGCCCTACTACCTACCTACCAACTCAAAGATGGTCAGCATCTAGGGTCCTTGCCCCTCCCCCATAGGTCCCTTGACTCCTGAGGGACAGAGGGTGAGACACAAGCTGGGAGGCGAAGCTGAGTCTGGCTAGGTCACTCGTGAGTACGGTGGAAGACAGGCCTCTACTTCAGGAGTCTTGCTGTACCTCCTGCTTCTGACCCCTCCCCTGAGACCACCAGGCTGAGGTCAGATGTGAGGTCTTGGATTCTGCCTCCCACCCTGACCCTGGCTTTCCAACCACAGAGCGGAGGCTGGAGCCCACCAGCCCAAAGCCTTGCACCCCTGCCCACCCCCCCACTCAGGGGCTTCTGGGCCAAGAGCAGGAGTGGAAGGTAGAGAGAGGGGTTCCTACAACTGCCAGACTGGTTACTACAGCCTGAAGCCAAGCATGGTCTGGCTGAGAAAAGAACAGTTCATCCTCCCGGTTCCGAGGCCAGAGTCGGAGTTGTCCCTCAGGGCTCTCAGGGACCTCCGCAGATGTTGTTGGCTGAACCTGTGCCGGGCACCCCATCTTTGCACCTGTCAACATCTGGCTTTCTTCTGTACTCCTGTGTGTTGTTCTCTCCCCCCCATAAAGACCCAGTCATAGATTTAGAGCCCCAGGGGAGAATAACTACGTTATTCGGCTACGTTCTTCAGTGAAGACCTGAGGTCAGCTGCCACGGGTTACGCATCAGCATACGTTGGGGACTCTGGGGCCATACATCAACCATGACAGGTGTGTTCTGGTCTCCGGTGTCCTTCACCCTAATCTTTCACTGTGGCTTAGACTGCTCCTGGTTCCAGGAAGCCTGGGGGCGAGACACTGCGGTAGAAAGCCAGTTCAGAGCCCAGTGGGATGCTGAGCCCCTGGGGTCACAATGCCTGGGTGTTTATGAACATGTCCTTTGCTTGCAGGATGTCCTGAGCATTTGGTACTATGGCCCCCTAGGCTGCACCATCCCAAAAAGCCAGGACTCAGACAGAGGTGACCCTAGGTCTGAGTCTATAATACTGGTGACCTGTGAGCCAGACAGACTCTGCAAGCCTAGGAGCCCATCATGACTGTTAAAGTGTAGCCATTACTGCAGCCCCTGAGACTTAGGACCTGGGGACTTTGTGGTCCCATGGTGGCTGGAGCCCAAACCCTTTTGTGAGTCTCTCTCTCTCTCTCTCTCTCTCTCTCTCTCTCTCTCTCTCTCTCCCGCCCCCCTCCACTTCCATGTGGCCAGAATAAAGCCCAGGTCCCCAATACTGGTTAACGATCTTTATGTGCTGCCCTCCCAGCATGTCTCCTCTAGTGTTTACCAGACCACCTCTGCAGTTCCAGACCTCAGGTCTGAGGAGCCTCCTGGCCCACCTTGCCCTTGAAGCACTAAGGGCAGCTGAAAGCCCTCACTCAGGATAAGGAGGTCAGCACATCTCAGGTGGAGGGAGGAGCTGGGCCAGGGGGCAGGGTCCCTCTCCCCATGTTGGAAGAGGGAAAGCAGCAGGTTTTAGAGCATCATGCTGCTGGGCCTTGTGGACTGTAGCTGTTCTCATGTGTGCATTCAGCAGTTATTTATTGGGCATCGATTCTGCACTGAGTGCTATTGTGGGTGCTGTAGATACTTGAGTTAACTAGATAGATGGTGATCCAAGCTCCTGGGACTTACACTCCAAGGGAAGGACTGGAAATTAAGCAACAAACACAGTATGTGTGATAGTGGAGAAGGGGGGGAGGCAGAAAGAAATCCTACATGTTGCAAGGGGATTGGAGCATCAAGAATGTGTGTGGTCAGAAATGGCCTTGGCGACTTGGCAGTACATGTGCGAGGATTCCAGAGGAAGCATGGGAGAAAGCCAGCGGGGAGTCTGATTATGTACTAAGCAGGGAGGTTAGCATGTACAAAGGTCCTGAGGTAGGTGGTACAGGAACAGCAAGGAAGCAGAAGTCTGGGACCGAGTGAGTGGGGGAGGAAGCAGGAAGAATCAGGATTCGAAGAACCACATAGTGAGGACTCTGGCTGGACCTCTGAGGGAAGTAGGGGGCCACTGCAGGGATTCCAGCAGAGCAGTGACATGACCTGAGAGTACCTTTGTGGGGATCAGCCTCAAGCAAGGGTGGCAGTTAGGAGAGCCAGCAAGCAGGAACTAGAGGCCCCAGGGGTGGCGTGTGCATGGGTGGTGACCTTGAATTCCAGTTCTGCTAGTGGTTGGATTTGTTGGTTGGTGCTTTAAATGTGGGACAGGAGAGAAAGCATTTGAGGCAGCACCAAGCATTTGACCCGAGTTATGGAGAAGACTCTGAGAAGGAGGAACTTAGGCAGGCACACCTGTCCTGGGTGTGCCATTGCATCACCCATGGGAGAGCAAGTGCCTGCTCAGGGTGTGGTGTGGAGGAAGATGGGGGAGTGCAGAGAATGGGGCCACACTGGGCAGTGGGAAGGATGGGCAAGCGCAGGCTTGCACCATGGGGTAGCTGTCCTCCCTCCCCACAAGAGGAGCACCCTGGACCGGGGCAGGAACGGGGACAGGGGACTAGCAAAATATGGACAACAGCCTGTGGGTCATCAACAAGAACGTGGACCCTCCTCCCAGAAGTTAGGCCTCAGCAGGGAGCTGAGTCCAGGAACAAGTGTGGGATCCCAGTCTCTGGTGGCAGTTGAGGTCTGAGGTCGGGCTGTTCAGGGTGATGATGGGGAGGAGCCAGATGAGGGGAGCCAGAGATGGCTGGGAGCTCTGGAGAAACAGGCGGCAATACGGAGGGGTGAGGGAGTAGAGTGCATGGCTTGGCCTTGGATGGTGCAAGACCTCAGTCAGGTGGAGGTCCGTGAACAGCCAAGATTGGGCACCCTGGCCTTGCAATAGGAGCCAGCTGAGAGGCAGTAGTGAGGAAGGCCGTGGTGAGCAGTCGGGAATTAGGAGCCTTTCTCCCAGAATGTTGTGACCTCTCCGGGTCCCACGTGTGCCTTACTCACATGTCTCACATGCCCTCTAATCAGGGTCACACCTTGCAGTGCTGGTTTTAATTCCCTGGGAAGCACAGCACCCTGGGTGGGCCGGGTGGACCATTTAAACTTCCACCTTGGCCCGGGGCAGGACAGGAGTGAGACTGGCTTCCCAGGTGCCGGAAGACTCTGGTCGCACACTCCTGGGTCAAGAGCCAATGCCTGCCTCCCAGCTCTTTCCTTCTTGTCTTTCTCTCTTGCCCTCTGTCTGCCCTTCCCTCGTTTCCTCCCTCTCTTTCTCAGTCCTTCTCTCCTTTCTCTCTGCCCTGCAGTTTCTAGTGCTTATTATATTTTCCTTACCAGCCATGAGAGAGGGTGGCTTGTTGAGGAATGAGGGATGGAGGGCAGAGGCAGAGAAAGGCGGGCAAGGTACAGCTGAGAGGTCCCTGAGCATCCAAACTGTTGAGCAAGGCTGGTCCACCACAGGCTACACTGATCCCGCCTTCTGCCAGCCCCCTGTCCCCAAGTGAATGCCCTTCCTTCCTTAGAACTTGTGCCTTCTCCTGGGTCTGCGGTGACAAAGTCCATACACAGCTACCACAGTAGAAGTAGGCCTGTCTCCTCATTCTAAGACTGTGTCCCTGATCAAGGTGTCCTGTGCTTTCTCCATCTCCTAGACTGCCATAGAGATCCAAGGCAGCTTGGCATACAGAGGGCCCTGAAGAGATCCCGGGACCCCTGGGGTAGGGTCTTCCTGAGTCTCAGCCCCACCTTCACCCAACTGCCACCAACTCTGCCCACAGTGTTCCATCCTCACCCTGGGCTAGGACATGCACCTGCCTCCTAGCCTGTGCAAACAATCCCTTGGTGGTCCCTTGTACCTGGGGCTGCTGGGATTGCAAAGGGGGATCTGCCTCAGCTTTGGGAGCAGCCCTGATGCTTGGTGTTCCGCTGTGGATACAGCATTCATTCAGAGCTCTGCCACTGCCCTTCCAGGGGGTCCTCTCTGGGCCTCTGCACCCAAACACTCCCCTGCATGCTGCCCCTGAGGGAGGGTGTGTGGCTGGCTACCTGTGGTCCCTCCCTTTTGGGTGGTGAGCCACGCTGAGGTGGGCAATGAGTTCCAGTGTACAAAGGGGCTCCAGCACCAACAGCATCTCCATTCTCTGCTGGCCACGGCGGCAGCCTCATCTTTAGCCTTCTCTTCCAGATCTGGCTGCCACAGCAGAAACTAACAACCCCAGCCCATCTTCCTGCCCACAGGCCTGGGAGGGTCTACCTCAAACAGGCACCTGCTGAGGTCACGAAGCGATGCCTCAAGATTGTTCACACAGGCTGGGAGGCAAGATGAAGCTAGCCCGGGATGAGGATGGAGGACTGTGGCAGAGCTGGTGGCAGTC